GCCGCCATGTCAAGCGCCTGCAGCCCGCTCTCCTCGCGCCTGCACCTCAGACCCGGCTGGAGACTGCGAGGGGGCGGAGGGAGGGGCGAAGAAGAGGCGGGGCCGCGGCACGGGGCGGAGCCGGGACAGCGCCCACGGGGCCGCCATCTTGGATGAGGGCAAAGACGCTCTAGGAGCTCCCGCCTGTGGGCTCGTCTGGGTAACTGTCCCCGTGTTGGATGGGGGTAATTTCTTTCCCACTTCCGGCACGCTGTCGGTGTCGGTGTCCAACTCCATGTTTAACTAGGTTAATGTGACTCTGGGCCTCACGTTGTTCCAGGCCTGGTCTTACGCATAATTTGTCTCTTTACCATCCTACTGGATCCAAAGGATGTGTCCCAGTCCCTATTTCTTCTAATCCTCTCCCAGGTGCCATGTCTTCACACAATTGCCCAAGAAGTTATCATTTTAGATTAGGGCGATTAACGTCAGTTAAGCTTCCATCCTGTCAAGAGAGCAGAAGGAGCCAGCATTTTTGCAACACGTATCTTTTTCTTCTAACTGTAGCCAAGTTGGGGAACCAGTCTTCAACAGGTTCTTCCTTGTCTTTTGATTTTTAGTTAACCTGCACTGTACAGTGGAGACTCCCAGCAGTCGCTAACAGTTAGGCAGTTCATCTCCATTCATAGGCCTGATTTTTGTGACGCAGGATTTAAGGTGCTTCGGTGGTTAGTTGAGGACCATGTGAGGTGTAAAGAGTTGTTAATACCCACAGGGTCTAGGTGGGAAACTCTCCTACTGAGTGAAAACAGAAACAACTTCTGGAAACTGCTTTTATCTGCTGACACCACTCACTTCTTTTTCTAGGAGTTTCTTCGTCAAATTACCTTGACATCCGTGTTCATGCAACCAAGCATCCCCATAAATAGTAACTATTTACGTAATGCAATAAAATATGTATTGATTCCAAGAAATATTTATGGAGCATCTACAAGGTTGTATTAGAGTTTATAACACTAATGGAAAAAGACAAAAAGTCTTCAGTCGCCCAGAGATTACACAGAAGGAGCTAGACACGAATAAATATGCATTAGTTGGTGAAAAGTGGTATCAATTAGAAAACTATTACAATAACCCAGGTCATGATGATAGTAAAGTGATGAACACTGAATTTTCAGAATATTTTATTACAGTTCATAAAATGTTTAGACAGTGCATTAGATTTGAATGGAAGGTGAAGAGACATTGGGACAGCTTGGAAGAATAAAGACAATTAATTTTAGACTCCGAGGTTCAGGAAGACAGGAAGGTTAGAGAGAGAGAGAGAGAGAAAGAGAGAGAGAGAGAGAGACAGAGACAGACACAGAGACAGAGACAGACAGAGAGAGAGACAGAGAGAGAGACGGAGATTTGAGAGTATCAGGATGATTATAGAATTTAAAACCATGAGACCCCCAAAAACTGAGAGGGAGAAACTGAGCAGTTGTTAAATTCTCATCCCTTACTGTTCTCCAAGATTGTAAGACCTCCTGTGGCCTTGTTTCTCCTGGTTTCCTTAAAGAATAAGGCAGGGAGAAAGGAACAGGTTTGGTTTTCAGCATACACATGTTGATTCAGAACCATCCCGAACTCTAGTTTCAGGGAATCCATTAGCCTCATCTGACCTACAAAAGCACCAGGAACACACTTAGAATATATACATACATGATGGCAAAACATTCCTAAAATAAATAAACAAATAAATCTTTTTTTTTAAAGGGAGATCAAAAGTGCAACAAAACCTTTCCCCTTTCTCATAAAGAAGTGAACTATTTGCAGAATAATCATTCACCTAAAAGCTTCTCTCATTCATTTAATTGATTCTCTTTCCAATATAATATACTTAATGGGGAAGTAGGAGGCACAAACACATAAAATTGGAAATCAACTTAAAACTTAGTGTATCTTCTTGTCGTCATTTTTATACAACCCCATCACTTCTGCAAAGTATAGATGATCTTTTCTAAGTACAAATTTGTTTGCATCTACTACTTCTCTCATCCTGTTCCCTTATGGCATTTAAATGGTTTTTAATGACAGTTAAGATAAAGTGTAAGAAGTTCAGTGTGACCTTAATCTGAATAGTTTGTTTATTATTCACTTGTCCCTTTGCTCTTGTTACTGGAGACTTAGGTAATAAGCCCTGGATCTAAGTGCCAACATTTTGTTCAGAGCCACCCATCCCAATACACACACGATAATGATGAGTAATTATGAAGAACAGAGAAAAGAGATTAACCAGTGTGGCTACATTGGGAAATACAGATCAATGGGTGCAAGTTCATTTTTGGAGCACTGACACAAGCCTTAGATATAAACAGAAGAAGAACTAGAACACAGGGAAGAAGTATTCATAGATAAGTAATCTTGGCCAATGTGGGATCATTGCCTCAGTTCAGGTTCAGTAAAGTAGGAGGAAGAGTCATATCTATTGAGAAGATAAGCTATGAGAAGATTGTTCACAGGGTACTCTCATGGTAGAATGGTTTGTCTGCAAGGCTCTTCTGTTCTTGGATCCACAGTGACTACAGTATTAGGACAAT